TCTACTCACTCTACTTTCACTTTCTCTCCATTTCTCTACTTGGATGCAAATCGCAACTTTGATTCTTGCTCATTCTAGTGATTAGATGATGATTAATGCTTGTTTTGTCCTATTCTTCACTCTCATGTCAATCGTCACTTTCCCCCTTATGATTTCATGCATTTGGGTGAGTTCTGATCACTCCACTCTCACTTTCTCTCCGTTATTCTACTTGGATGCAAATCGCAACTTTTATTATTGCTCATTCTAGTGATTTGATGATGATTAGTGCTGGTTTTATCCTATTTTTCACTCTCATGTGAATCGCCACTTTCCCCCTTGAGATTTCTTGCAATCGGTTGAGTTTTACTCACTCTCCTCTCACTTTCTCTTCATTTCTCTACTTGGATGCAAATCGCAACTTTGATTCTTGCTCATTCTAGTGATTAGATGATGATTAGTGCTTGTTTTGTCCTATTATTCACTCCCATGCCAATCGCCACTTTCCCCCTTGTGATTTCATGCATTTGGGTGAGTTCTACTCACTCTACTCTCACTTTCTGTCCATTTTTCTACTTGGATGCAAATCGCAACTTTAATTCTTGCTCATCCTCGTGATTTCATGATGATTAGTGTTTGTTTTGTCCTATTCTTCACTCCCATGTGAATCGTCACTTTCCCCCTTAACATTTCTTGCATTTGGGTGAGTTCTACTCACTCTACGCTCAATTTCTCTCAATTTCTCTCAATTTCTCTACTTGGATGAAAATCGCAAATTTAATTTTTGCTCATTCTAGTGATTTGATGATGATTAGTGCTTGTTTTGTCCTATTTATCAATCCCATGTGAATCGTCACTTTCCCTCTTGAGATTTCTTGCATTCGGATGAGTCTTACTCACTCTAGTCTCACTTTCTCTCTATTTCTCTACTTGGATGCAAATCGCAACCTTGACTCTAGGTAGGATGATGTTTTTCAACTGTTTAAACCACTCTTGTAGCTGCTGTTTCTAATAGTTGTAGATCCTTAGCTGTTGATAAGGTCTGGCCGAGCCAGACATTTGCTAATGCAAGGAAAAGTAAGCGGCCAACCGCCCGACGCAAGACCGCCCTGAGAACCGCAAAGGGGCCAAAATGAACCGGGAGCACCCCTATGACAAACCTGTCAAACCTCGGGTACGAGGTCTGAAACTTCTCAAACCTTATATCCTAGGCATAACCAGATGACCTGCAGAACCAGCAGACCACCGGAATCCGTTTCTCTTAAAAATAAAAAAACAGACTTCCCCGAATTGTTCGCGTTGAGGCAAGACAGCACCCGAAATAGGTAAGTCGACCCAAACGACATCAAAATCGAGCCAACCTTTACAGGGGCCTTCCCTGTGGTACAGTGAGAGGGCTCACCAAGCTTGGAGTGATTCTGATGTCGTTTGGGGCAGGAAAGACAAACCTGTGTTTTTCAGCTCTCCATACTTTGATTGCTGCAAACTGTGTTTTCTGCATATTGGCTGTAGGATTAGTACTGTAGGACTGTGATTTGTGGTCGGGGTTAGAAGATATGCCGGGAACAAACCCGGACACTTAGACTAGGGGGGGGGGGGGAGCCACCTACCTTCCTCCACCACCTCCTTCACCCATCCACCATAGCCAACCACCTT